ATTCTACCTGAAAAAAAAACACTACTGTGAAATACACCAAACTGATCACTGTGGCTCTGTTGACATGAGATTTTGACTCATCCTCCAGGGCACTCCCTGTCTTTTCATCTTTCTAAAATATTTTAAACCCAAAGATTATATTAAGAGTGATAACATGAAAAACGTCATGGCAGTTGAATGACTAGATAAAGTGGATCTAAGATGGTTAATTATAATGATTAGATGACAATTATGCAGATATTTTTCTTTGACATATTATTTGCTTATCTGTTTTGCCTCTTATCTTGCCCCATGCTTCTCTACTTACCTGTTTTTTTTCTTTCCTAGATATAACTTGGAGAAAACATTCTTGTCTAGTTTCCTCTGGCCAGGACCAATTMTTCCTACATATGATGGTGAATATTAACGATTTCCCATTCATCCTCCTTTAGTGAACATACACCTAGAGATAATGACAAAAAGAAATAATCTGAATCCTTCCTTGGTTTACTGGACCCCCACAGATCTCTATTTTCTTTTTTATTAAATATTTTTAGTTATAGACGGATGCAGTATCTTTATTTTGTTTATTCACTTTTATGTGGTGCTGAGGATCGAACCCAGTGCCTCACATGTGCAAGGCAAATGCTCTGCCACTGAGCCACAACCCCAGCCCCCAGATCTCTATTTTCATTCATTCATTCAGCACTGTCCTTGGTCAATATTTTTGTTGTTGTTTTTTAATAGGAAAAAGAACACTGCAAAGTTTATTACATGCCTAAGGCATGGAAGTCAATGATTTTGATGATCATCCAGAAGGCACATTATTATTTTTACAGGTAATTTTRGCTTCAAGAGGTACTGAAAATGCACTGAATTAACAGAATCAGAAACCAAAAAATTTCAATGGGTTGGAAAGATAGATAAAATAAAACAGAACAAGTAATGAGTCAGTGAGTATAAGGATCTGCAGTGATCATCTAGCGCTGTGTTTGTAGAAATAAATGCCCAATCTCTGGTGAAAAGGCTTCGGGGGCTTAACCAGGAGGAAGTTCCGGTCAGAGCCCCAGGTGCGGAGATGCTGAAAGAAGAGGCTCCTTTGATCTCAGGTCATAGTGATAGAAGTACAGTAGTTGCATCAGAGCCTCTGCAGGTAGGAGGAGGAGCAGATCAAACCAGGAGTCCAGAGCTGGGGCATAATCCTCAGAAAATAGACAGAACCCTGAATAAATCAAAAGATCCGATCAACAGCAGCAGCACCAATATAGGCAAGGGAGATAGCAGAGCGCAACAGACAGGAGCTCCTGCAGCAGGAACCAGAGGCTTGAGGATTCCCGTGGCCCTTGAGCAGCAGCAGCAGATGGAGGTGCTGCTCCTGGGCTCTGTGGCTCTGGCTCCATCTCTCAGAGGAGGCTTCCCCTGTGCTTCCAGCCCCCTCACTGCTCTTTCCATCTCAACTACTCTTCCTTCCTTGCTCCCCTCTGGGTCTTCCTGCATGCTTTTCTCTCTGCCTGGAAAAAAAAAATTATCTTTAGGAGAAGGGAAATAATATGAAGCATATTCAGTCCTAAGGATCTCACCTGTAGAGAGGCTGACAAGCTGGAACCTTCAAAGGGAAGCTGGAAGGAGTTTCTAGAACATTCCATATGATGAGTGACCATGAATGAGAAGCCTGGAAAGAATATGCCAGGACACAGGAGATGTTTCTGAGTGTCCAGTAAATTATCATGTGACAATATCAGAGCACTGAGGAGCATATAGAGCATGGTTACAGTACATGCCTCTAGTCCCACTTATCTAAGGTGGAAGGACCACTTGAGCCTGGCCAGGAGTTCAAGACCAACCTGGGCAACATAGCAAGACCCCATCTCAGACAAAACATAAGATTTAAAGGAACTGACTCAGTAAATGATTTTTTTTTTGGAGGGGGGGGTGGTACCAGGGATCTAACTGAGAGGTGCTTTACCACTGAGCTATGCCCCCAACCCTCTTTTATTTATGTATTCATTTTTAAATTTTGAGACATGGTCTCAATAAGTTGCTGAGGACTCCTCTAGTCTCAGGATTCCCAAGTCACTGGGATTACAGTTGTGTACCACTGCACTCAGCCCTTGAGTCTTTTGAAACCCCGTGCCAGATGTTTAAAGTTCTTTGAAATAGGAACATGTTCAGCCAAAGTGGTAGGATAACATAAGCAAGACTTTTGTGCCAGTGGGCTGACCAACCTCTGATTGATAAAACTTAAATGTGCTTGTCTGGTATGAGTTCAGCAGATCTAAGGAGGTGTGCTTCTTAAACCAAGGACCTAAATTGTCCAGAAGATATGTAATGTGAGGGGTTTCCAATAACACAGAAGGATTTAATAAGATCTTTTGGTTCTTATTAGTCCTCCTACACATTTGCACTATGCACTGTTGTAGCCACACTGTATATTTTTGCTTTGGCATCCAGCTACCAAACCCATGTGGGGATGAAATTCCTGACTGAGCCTCAGCTTCTGCAAGCTGAGCTGCTCCATGGTTGGTGTGTTGTAGAAAGTTAGGCCTGGGCTCCCTTCTGTCTCTGACACAGATGCTCCACCACTTCTACTCGGTCTACAATATTAAAGCTGTTGGCTGTACCAACAGCGTGCTCCTGAATAGGGGCGAGAAAGAAAGCTCAAGAGAATGTTTGTAGCTGATAACAAGAGAGAGTGTCTGGTTTTGCTAACCAAACAGAAGATGAAATGTTCTTTTGTATGTGAGCAGGAAGCAAACAGATAGTCTACTTCAATAGCTTTTTATATCCACCAGGCGTGTTGAATTTGATCTTTTCCATCAGTATTATCTATACAACCTCTTTCATGAGTGATTTAGTTAGAAGAGTCCTGTGACCCATTATTCAAAGGTATTATCTCTTTCAGGGACAGGATTGAGAGCTATACCCCATATCGAAGTGAAAATGAAATGACAAACAAAACCTTGTAACAATTTGTGCCATTTTTTAGTTCTTTATAGAAGGCTAGTAAAATTCACAAAAGAAGTAGTGGTGAAGAAATTGCTGACTATAATTAAAAGCCTTCAGCTTTTCAAAAGAATAATTGGCAAATTTGTGAAGGCCCATACCTTCTGCAGCATGATTTTCACATAATCCKAAATTAGATTTGACTATGACTTTATTAGGGTTAAATAATTAAGCAATGCATTAGCATTGTTGATGACCACATTAGATTATAAAGATCAGTTGATCTGTTTATCAAATACCTGTCTGGCTTCACCAACTCAAGTGGATTCATTTCTGGCAGCAGGTTTGGGAAATGTCTTTGTTTAAAAATACCAAAATAGCATTTGAAAAAAAAAAAGAAACATATTAAATAAAACCTTTGTGGGTTGTATTATGAGCCCTTTTCCTTCACAGTCAGCTGTGTCTTGCCTGTCTCTTTGATTTTCCCCTGCACAAGGTCATACCTTTTCTCATACCCATGGTGGACTCCATGCCCCTCCAGCACTGTGAGCTGGGCACTGCATGGCTTCTTCATCTGACAGATTCCTCCCTAGATTCCAAGCCCCTTAGACAGCAATGAGTGATTCAAGGACATCTCAGCATTGGATTGTTCTTGGCTCTAACAATACCTGGTTTCTGCAGAGTGCTACAGAAGAGCAATGCTGTCAGCTTTTCCTTGGAAAGAGGGTGTGGGAGTGACAAGTGGTATGAGGTGAGGCAGAAGGACATCTTGGCTCTGAGGGTGTGTCCCAGACTGTGGGAGCTGGGAACCAGTTGGAAGAAGGCTCAGCTGCCAGACATTCTATGGATAATTAAGTAGTTTTAGAGCAACCAGGTGTGCTGATGGCAGAGAAAGGGGGCAGGAGCAGTAAGGAGGGTCAATGGAAAAACAAACCAAAAAATTGCGAAGAATGCCGAAGCCAAAGGGGAGCACTAGCTGGAATCTAGAGATGGTGCCTCAGGTGCTGCTGCTTCAGATGCCTGGTCAAACATTGCCTGTGTGGAGCTGCAGGTGGCCACCGCCTCTCCTTGCCCAGAGATGTGGCAAGTTCAAGTTGCCCAATCTTCCAAGGTGGGGAGGTAGTCCAGTCCTTCAGGAAGAGTCACTAGCTCCGTTCAGGAGACATCACAGTTCCTTTTATGATGGCCATCAAGTAGGTTCCAATAGAACTATGTTTTAAACCTGCAGTATTTACAAGGACAAGACTGGGCTGCTCCGTGGTGCCTGGGACGACTTCAGCCTTTGAGCTAATGGAGACATAATTGAGTAACAACGTGAAATTAGTGTCATCGCAAATGATCTAGTGCCTCAAGTTAATTTCACCGGGTTGTGTTCCAAGAGCAGCAGACTCACTCATCTTGCTAGCAAGCTGCCACCAGAAAGATTTCTTTTTGAGCATTTAGGAAATAAAGTTCGCGTATTCGGCCCTTACATGTTGAAGGAACAGTTTCACGCCTCAGCCTTCTAAAGGTATCTTGTTATTCCCTGTTTTGCTTCTAGGAAGCAGAGGGTTGCGGAAATGACTTGGGCGGGTGCATCAGTGTGGCCGAAAAAGACACAGACGACTTCCCTGGGGACCTGAGCCCGCCCGCAGTCTTCCCGAAGGTGCCAGGCAAGCGTCCGGTTCTCTCGGACGCTCCTGGTCTACAGCCGTGTGCAGAGGGTCTCTGGCGCCTTCCTAGACGTCTTGGGACAGTCTGGCTGGGTCAGGGTCGGCGGGACAGTGCAAGCTAGGGGAGTGGGCCCGACTGAGCCTCGCTCCTCGTGCCAAGTACACCGTCGCGGAGGCGCGGTCAGCTTCCCTTGAAACTGACTTCCCGCCCCGGGGGCCTGGCAGTGGAGCTCCAGCCCCATCTCCCCCCCAGTTTCGGGCGGCCCCCAGAGCTGAGTAAACCGGGTGGAGGGAGCCGGTAAGGATTTCCTGAGCGCTATGGGCAGAAGGAGGGCGGGGGCAGGAGTGCTTGGAGCAAGGACCCTGAACCTGCCAGCGCCGCGCTCCCGGGTCCGCACAGCCAGCGCCTCCCCACGCGCTCTCCGCCCGGGGCCACCCACCCTGGGCGGCCCCCGCCCCTCTTCCGAGCTGTAGGGAAGCGAGCTCGGGAGGAAGAAGAGGGTAGGTGGGGAGGCGGATGAGGGGTGGGGGACCCCTTGACGTCACTGGAAGGAGGTGCCGGGGTAGGAAGTGGGCTGGGGAAAGGTTATAAATCGCCCCCGCCCTCGGCTCTGCTTAATCGAGGTCCGCAGGAGGCTCGGAGCGCGCCAGGCGGACACTCCTCGCGGCTCCTCCCTGGCGGCGGCGGCGGCGGCGGCGGCTCGGAGCGGGCTCCGGGGCTCGAGCGCAGCGGCTGACGGGCGCCGGACAGCGAGGATTACCCGAGAAGTGGTTGTCTCCTGGCGGGAGCCGCGGAGAGGGGCTCTCGTGGAGCAAGGCAGGAGCGCCGGGCCGGCAGCCGCGGAGCACCAGAGGAGGACCGGCTCAGGCGGTCGAGTCGTCGGCCGCGGGGAGCGCGGGCACAGGGCGAACAGGCCGCGTCGCGCTCACCATGGTCAGCTGCTGGGACACCGGGGTCCTGCTGTGCGCGCTGCTCGGCTGTCTGCTTCTAACAGGTGAGGCACGATCGGGCCCTGGAGCCGAGCGGGGCTGGGATGCTGCGGCCACGGGGCAGAGACGTTGGGGCCAGGGCCAGGTGCACGCGGGGAGGCGAGGCTGCAGCCGGGAGAAGCGAAACTCAGAGGGAACCTGGGGCACTAGTTGCAGCGGGAACGCCTGGGGCCACGGCACCCCTGTAGCTGGCGGGGGACTAGCGGGCATCACCGCCCACACCCGCGTGGCGCCGCGCTCTGGTCTGTGCTGGGGCTGCCGGATTGCGGCAGGAGTCGCTTGATCCCCTGCCCGGCTCCTTATTGGGGTCCCCGCTCCCCRCATCGAAACTCTGGGCACCGGAAGCATCACACACCGGACCTGCTTGGCACCCAGAGCCTGCTCCCAAGCCGCCAAGAGCGGGTCCGCAGGGTCCTTCGAAGTTGGAAAGAGCGGCTCCCGAGCGCCGGTGAGCCTGTCCAGGGCTGTGCTGAGGCTGGGGAGTTGGCGATATTGGGCACTGGCCATGACCTCGAGCCCCCAGACCTACAGAGAAGAAACCAATTTGGAGAGGGTCGCGTGTCTCCGGGGAACAGACAGATCACGAGAGGGCCAGYTTGTTATTCCTGGACTCACTTGGGGCCCTCGAGTCAGACTACCCTAGGAACATTCGGCAGCGCCTATTCCTCCCAGACGCTCGCTGTGCGCAGCCACCGGGTGGGGCCTCTGCCGGTAGCTGGCGGGCTGCGCGGTCCAGCCCAGGTCGTGGACTGCGTGATCCTAACCAACCAAGGCCCAAAGTACCATTAAATTTTGGAATTGTAAGCTTATCCTTTAAATTACGAGCCAAGAAAGGGCGGACAATTTGGACCAAAAGATGCTGTTTGAGGAATCGTTGAGGTCTGCACCGTTTCTTAAGTCAGCTTCTCCGGTCCTTTGGAAAACAGGCGCTGAAACGGTCAAGGGCCAGATTTTTAAGAACAATTAGTGTGGAGACCGCCGTCCTTAAGGGGTCAAAGCTTGAGGGGACTTAGGGACTCGTCTTTTCTGCTCAGTGGGGTTAAGTGATCTAGAATCCTTTGGTTCTCTCTCCTTGCGCGCAAAGGGCCAGATTTTGGAGCGCCTTTCTTTTAAGCATCGTGGGAAAAAGGTACAGTACCACGAAATAAGTCATTGTAATGACTCCCTGGAAGGAAAGTCAGAAGATTAAACTTCTTTTTTTTTTCTTTTCTTTTTTCTTTTTTAACTTGCAAAACCCAAAAAGCAGTAACAAATATTCTCAGCGGGAAGACTAATTAGATAGTTTTACCGATCTAATTGCAACTATTTAGAAGCTGAGAAACCCAGAGGAAAGGCGTGGGTTGGGAACTCTCTACAAGCTGGGAAAGGTGCTAAAATAACTACATTAAATGAAAGATCACATTTTCTACTTACAAATATAGTTTTTTTAAATTTGAAAAGTTGCTTATATTAAAATGTAATTGCTCAGAGAACTTAACATTCCCAGTCTCATAGGTAAATGTAAATCTAGGTAAATTCTCTGAACCCAAAAATGCAAGATAAATCGGAACACCTTATTGGATTTTCTGCTTCACACACTTTTATTTTTTTCAAAACGGTGGTGGACTTTAATGAAGCATAGTTCTGTTTGCATTTAGGAGCATCTTAGATTGGTGGAAGCTTTACAAGAAATGTTAGTGGGATCGTCTTGTCGTTTAGATTATAATTTATTTGGACACGAATCTTGGAAATCTTTCTGATTTTTTTTTTCACATTTGTGAGAAGAAAGGGAGACAAACTGACAAAGTGTGAACCCCCTTACCTGATTGCTTCGGGAGTATTCTGTTAGCAAGCAGGTTTGTCACCGTAAAATGCGTCTTTGAAAACTGCAGCTTCTCTGGCTGAATTAGAAACATCTCAGTAAAATAATCAGCTACCTGCTTTCTAAATAAGACTTTCCAATTTATCAGGAAGCTCTCTCTGGCCAGAAAGAGGTCCCCTATTTCTGCCTGTGGATTCATCCTGAGTCACCCTTACCCATGTGAGCTCCAGTCTGTGACCCTTTGGGTGCTATATTTAAATATGTATCAGTTATCAATATTGTGTGTGCATGCATGGCATGTAAAATAACTAGAGGTTTATTAATACAAATAGGTAATGCATCTTCCTCCTAAAATTTATGGGGTTTTTTGTTTTCTTTTTGTGGTACTGGGGATTGAACCCAGGACCTTGCATTTTGCCTGTACCACTGAGCTACCTCCCTTAGCCCAATGCATCTGTCTCCTAAAGCGTGCCAGTTACCCTCCAGATACCTAGAGAATAAAGAGACACTCATAATTCAGATACTTTCAGGTCCTCAGTATTGTGATCACTTTCTCCATAAAGGAAATCAGTCATCTTTCTCTAGAGGTGTCTCATTTTCTTACTTTTAAGGCACCACACCCTTGATTAAAGTCACAGATTCTTTAGGATTTTGTCCTCCACCCCGTTTCATTAGTTCATTAGCAGCTGACATTTACAATTTACCATAACTAATTGGAAACACTTAAACTGAATTTTGTGAGGCAAGTCCACAGTAATAACATTAGGTTGAAATGTACAAGAAAATAATACCTATTTCTAAGTTGAATATGATACATCTCTCATACTAGCTTATTTTATGTGGTAATTTTTGTTGTTTTCTCTGAGGCTTATAAAGTCATACTTTTTTCCAAAATTGCATCTTTGACATGTTAATTATTTAGGACCTTAGGCAGTCCCCATCTTTTTTTTTTTTTCCCAATTCATAGATCGTTTTACAGATAAACTGTAGGTCACTGCCTATTCTAGTTCCTYGAATATTTTTACTTTTCTTTTGAGTTTAGCACTTTGTTACATTTTTTTAATTTTCCTGTTGAAAATTCTATAATGGACTAAGTAGTTTCTAATGATCACCAAGTAGATTTTGTTTTGTTTTTTATACATAAACTGCAGRAATTAGAATAAATGGTCAATTTCTAAGGTTCCTTTTTTCCATGAAACAGACTAAACCCCGCATCTCTTTTATCTCTTCCTACCTTACTTATATATAAAATGGAGAATAATCATCTGATGCTTTGGCTGTAGGGATAAACTGGGTTCTCCTTGCCATCAGCAATCACACTGTGGAATGTACCTGACTGACCAATTAACATGGTCTTCACTGGGTAGCATTTTGCAGGAGATCAGCTGTCTGAAGATGCCTATAACAGTGGACCTAATGGTCTTGGGCTTTTTCACCAGTAGAATGTGTAAGTCTGTGACAGAGATACTCCTTTATAATAGTCACATTAAGTCTTATAAGGATATTTGTTATTTGAAGCCCCCAGGCATTTCTTGATAAAAAATTGACACTTTATTTGATCAAAATGGCTTTATTTACAAAGAATTCCAGGTTTCAACAGAGCTACTAAGCCCTTTGTTTAAAAATGGAACCTATTTCATTTGACTTTTAAAAAGCAAGCCAAATAATTGCTTTTTCTCCCCAAAACTATGTAAACCTTTTTAAAAATATGCTCTGAGTGAATGTAATATAGAAGTTGAAAGCAGTATGACACCAAAGGAAAAAAGAAATGGTTTTATATCAACCAAAAAAAAAAAAAAAAAAAGACGTAGTGCCCTTCAGGAAGATTATACAACACATTGCTTCTACACAGCAAACTTATGGCTGATGGTTACTATGGCTTGGGCAGTTTGGCAAGGTGAGAACAAATAACATAACAGGATTAGGGATGTAGCTCAGCGGATGTTTGCCCCTTGGTTCAATCTCCAGTACAAAAAAATTCTTTTAAAAGCCCAGGGCGGGGGCGGGGGTGGGGGGGTGGGGGGGACTGTGGAAGAATTTGGGGGATGGAGAAAGTGAGAGAAGTCTCTTGGCCCTGGGGTGTTAAATGCAAAGCCTGCTGATAATATAGAAAACAGTATCAGGTTCTTGGTTCAGGGTATGTTGGTAATATCAAGTAAATATCACTTTTCAGTGTAGCTGCCATTGTAGATAGTAGAGGGAGTTTGAAATCACAAACAGTAAAAATATTACGATGAGTGGCTAAAAAGTGTAAAAAACATCTGTTGCACTGGTTTTAAACAATTTGATAGATCAGTCCATTCTGTTCTGTTGGTTTTACTCTGGAAGAGGCTTGTAGAATGAGACCTCCTGCCAAATGCTTTCCAGGATCATGGTTGAGTCCTCACACATTTGGGTACCTAGGAAATTGCATGCTGCTGATTAAATTGCTGGATTTCATACCAGATTGAGGAAAGGGAAGGAAATGGGAGGAATGGGGTATTTGAGGGAGGGCTTGAAAGGAAAGCTTCTGGCTCAGTGCATGGGGCTGCAGGGGGGTTTCATTAAGGAAATGATTCCATTGAGTCTACTGAAGATAGTGGACTAGATTTCCTGCATTGCTGTTGGGGCGGATATAGGGAGATGTCAAGAATTCCTGGGGATTTCCCATCAGCCTTAGTAAACCTGGATGCCTAAAAGCCATTTCTGATCGCTGCTCCTTTCCTTGATTTCAAGCTGCATGACAGACTTGATCTTGTCTGTCAGACACATTCCACGCTTGTGAGAGCCGGATGGAATCTCAAGATCCATCTGCTCATTTCAGAGACAAGAAACTGGCCCAAAGATGTTTAGTAATTTTTTTCAAGGTCAATAGCTGGCTGGTTGCAGACCTAGGAAGAGAGCCCAATGTTCATCCTACAGACATTTCTTTTTCATTTGTATTATATTCTCTATCCTAGAAAGAGTAAAGATGCACAATACTCATCGAATAAAATTATTACAGTGCTAAAATTTCCTTCTAAATGATAACATCTCTTTTATTTATTACTATTATTAATTTTCTTTTTTTTTTGTCGCACTGGGGATCAAACTCGGGGACTCTTATATGCTAGGCAAGCACTGTATCATTGAGGTACACCTCCAACTCCAGCATCCTTTAAAATACATAATTATCTTTTACTTTTTAAAGGCCATAAGGGATTTAAATTTAAAATATCCAAAGGA